AAGGTGTGTGTGGGATGGGTGGGGGGGGGGAATGGGGGCGTAACTTGGCGTTATTTTAGCGTGCTTACCTATCATTATTTTATTATATTATATTATATTATATTATATTATATTATATTATATTCACGCCTCTGGATTTTTTTATTTATTTAAAAAGAAGATTTTTTTTAGAATTGAAAGACAACATTGCATTAGGTTTAAAACCTCTTTTCGCTCTTTCAGACATGACTCCTCTACCAAACACGACTTCTGCTGCCACCAGCCTGACGTCATCGAGACCAACAACCGCGTCCAGTACATCCACGCCAATTACCATACCTACTCCAGCAACTAATGCCACCACCACGCGTTCTACAACTACAAAACCTAATGCTGCCACCACGCTTTCTACAACTACAGCACCTAATGCTACCACCACGCGTTCTACAACTACATCACCTAATGCTACCACCACTCTTTCTACAACTACAGCACCAAATGCTACCACCACGCGTTCTACAACAACAGGAGCTAATGCTACCACCACGCTTTCTACAACATCACCTAATGCTACCACCACGCGTTCTACAACATTACCTAATGCTACCACCACGCGTTCTACAACTATAGCACCTAATGCTTCCACCACGCTTTCTACGACTACATCGCCAAATACTACTAAAATATTTTCTACAACAAAAGCACTAAATGCTACTTCAACCCCTTTTACGATTACTGCGACTAATACTACAGCAATGCTCTCTACGACTACAACAGTTAATGCCACCACCGCGCTCTCTACGACTACAACACTTAATGCTACCACCACTCTATTTTCAACTGCAGCACCCAATGCTACCACCCCGCTTTCTACGACTATGGTACATAATGCTACCACAATACTTTCTACGACTACAGCATCTACCGATAATGCTACTACCACGCTTTCTACAACAATGGCACCTAATGCTACCATTACGTTTTCTACAACTACAGCACCTAATACTACCACCACGCTTTCTACAACTACATCACCTAATGCTACCACTACGCTTTCTACAACTACATCACCTAATGCTACCACTACGCTTTCTACAACTACATCACCGAATGCTACCACTACAGCAGCTAATGCTACCAACACGCTTTCTACAACAACATCACCTAATTCTTCCACCACGCTTTCTACAACTACATCACCTAATTCTACAACTACGCTTTCTTCAACAACATCTCCTAATGTTACCACCACGCTTTCTACAACTACATCACCTAATGCTACCACCACGCTTTCTACAACAACATCACCTGATGCTACCACCACTATTTCTACAACATCACCTAATGCTACCACCACGCTTTCTACAACAACATCACCTAATGCTACCACCACGCTTTCTACAACTACATCACCTATTGCTACAACTACGCTTTCTTCAACAACATCACCTAATGCTACCACCACGCTTTCTACAACTACAGCACCTAATGCTTCAACTACGCTTTCTTCAACAACATCACCTAATGCTACCACCACGCTTTCGACAACTACAGCACCTAATGCTTCAACTACGCTTTCTACAACTACAGCACCTAATGCTACAACTACGCTGTCTACAACTACAGTGCCTAATGCTACAACTACGCTTTCTACGACCACAGTGCCTAATGCTACAACTACGCTTTCTACGACTACAGTACCTTATTCTACGGTCCCTTCTACTACAACCTCAAATTTAACAACAAACGTCGATTCAAGGTCTCAGTTTCTCACTTCATCCTCCCTGTCTGGTGAAATCACAACGGCTCCTGCTACTGATAAACCCTCAACAACAATAACAAGGATATTGTCCACTACAGTGATGGTAACATCCGTCACACCAGGTACGTTTCAAGCAGTAAGGTGGATGTTTACGATTTTACGATCAAACAAACAACTATCGGGATATTTTACTTGTGTAAATAAGATTCACCGGCTAAATGGAGGTAGTTAAAGCACAATTATGTTGTTATGACTCTGATGCCTTTTCTTGTAAATGTAAAAAGGCTCCAAGTAGATTTTCAGGTATGATAAAAAGAACAAAAGGTCGAACTCTATATTAAAATATTAGCTAAGCACATCGTTTAGATGATTACAATTTATACAGAAAAATATGAAAAATACACCTTTTTTCACCAGACTCCGGAAACTCAACAACATCAAAAGCAACAAATAGAAAACCGACAGGTGAGAGTTTGTTCTAGTATTTATCATACAAATGGTTACAATAAGTCTGATTTAACCACGACCAAATCGAAAATGGAATACATGTAAAACAAGTTATTAAACACAAAAAAGTCAGACACAATACACCATACTAGAATCCAGGCAGGGGGGGGGGGGTCGGAAAACTAGGGGTGTCCACTCTGAATCAAAGTCAGATCTAGCTTCTGTCATTTTCAACTTGGCCCAACTAACGGGGTTAATGCAGATTGGTTCACATTTTGTGGAAATTAGCACTCTTTTTAAAATGTTTGGCTACTGGCCGCTGGATTTTGCTAGATAATCTGAGCACGACAGTTGAAGAATTTATAGGAAATAGTATGTAATTAGAAAAATTAGACGTGTAGATATAATGTATTCATTGCAATGTTTTTCACTGATTTAAGAAACTCTAGATCAATGGCATTAATACCACATGTTGTACCTCTTCTTTTCAGAAATGCACATTGGTTTTATCATGACCGGAACTATACTTTTCCTTCTACGATAGACGTCGCTCTTGTTTTTAAGTCAAATGGAGATAACTTTTACTTTTTAATTTTTACGCACAACGTGTATAAGTCGCCGGAGACCATCCCTCGCTGTCAGAAATTATCCCCAAACAAGGAGATGATATGGTATGGTATGATCAGTAATATCGAAATAAGTGCAGTTCAAATTCTTCTGGTATTCATTGTATGTAAACGGATCATTTTAACGGAATTCCGCTAGACAAGCAACTCATCGGAGTTACTTGTTTTATGACCTGGCCCTCCTGATAAATTTTCCCAATAGGTGAAAATCCAAAGTACCTTGTGCTTGCACGTGGCTTAATTGGCGGGTATCTACAATATGTCGAATTAACAAAGCCTGTCAGCGGCCTGTGGGACAGGCAAGAGTGCACGACGATTGCTCTACGATTGCTCAACATTGTGTTACGGGTCACTCAACAAAGTTGGAATTTGACTCTTTCGAGAAATACCTGCTATTGTTGATGAAGATTGTAATGACAGTGTTGTAATATTCGCGTGACTCATGCTAAAGAAATGATGAAAAGAACAGTACCAGTGTTATTTCTCCATATTGGCTGCAAGTGAATTACTAATACTCTTTATGTGTACATTGTAGAAGCCTAGAAACACAAAATGATGCAATAAAAGACATTTTATGTTTTTTACATCTTGCTTTTCATTCTTTAAATCTCATCTAATTTATGGACATGCAACGCAGTTTTCTTAATGTCCAGAATACTAGCACTTGAGAGAGCTTTCCACCTTGAATAAATCTGGTATATTTTGGAGGCTAAATTATTATATGATTATTACATGATTGTATGTGTATTATGACTGATATATTACTAAAATACAGTAAACCACAATTTTAATTAAAAAGCAATTTTAATAAATGGTATAGGATGGACATTTTTTTTTTTACCGAAAATGGATATTCCCACTTTAAGACTAAAAAATGGGGGGGGGGGGGGGGGGGGGGGGGTAGATCGGTAACACACGTACACGTACCGATACATGTTCATGTGACACCACAGTTTCTAACGTTTTAATTACTTCACTTCACTTCCCCTTTCTATCTAGAATTGAAATCTTTAGGACTGACACGGTATACAACTTAAACGGACCGACTACAGCACAGGCAACGGGACAAAAACTTCATGCTCAAATACTGTGGCAGCAATGTGAAGAAATATTCGAAAAATCCCCCATCTTATTTCTTTCACGAACTCGCCAGTATTTAATCATAAAACTTGCCAGTATTCTAACACGTATCATTTTCGGGTGTTTTTTTTTTCATTGCAGGTTTGTCAATAGATTTAAGGTTTGGGTCAAGTCCACTTTATACTTGAACCGTCTTTCCTGTCGCACTTTAAAGGGTCACTGGTCATCACAGTTGTTAAGGGGATTTTAGAGTCCGTCTCACTTCGAAGGGCAGAGTTTTCTGTACAGCTCAGATATTAAAGATAGACGACTCAAAGCTAGGATATATACATGTATTTTACATGAGTCCTCAGTCTTAATAACGGAGAACGGAGACCTCACCCTCTACGCGGTCAGTTAACAGGGTTGATATTAGGCTTGCATGAGAGAGAGAGAGAGAGAGAGAAAGAGAGAGAGTACCAAAGGCGTAGTTACATTGTATTACACGTACGGACCAATTTAACAGGTGCGGTACATAAAACCGTACCCCTCGATGTGAGAAGGACCTATCTTGCTATCTCCCCACGTTAACACGTCACTTCAGGTCATTCGGGTTTTGTCCAATGAACCAAAGACCGTCACGCGGACAATGCGCATACGAGCGTTTACTGAACACCACGGCTTACCCCAGAGCATTTGTGTGAATCAATACAAATGTGACAGAGTCTCTGTTCACGTGACAAGGTTTACCTCTGTCGCTTGAATGGGGCCTTACAAAGGCAAGGGTACCCAAGGATATTGTTAAGCTTATTTAGGGTATTTTGCAAGGTAGAGTAGGCGGGGGCATGGGATAGAGTCAATAATGACAATACAATTGGACAATGGAGCTCAAAATTTCTATGTGAAATTTTTCTGACTCACGTTTTAGCGAGTTCGGTACTGCGTCTCTAATCTAGAAAGGGAAACAGAGGCGTTTTGGAGACACGGCTACGGCGAAGATGAAGGCAGGCGCTGCCGTTCTTGTCAAACGAAGCCAGTTCTCGGGGACTTCGGACCTTGGATAAAGGTCCTCGATCCGCCAGACAAAGGTGATTACACGTATCATATAGACGTTTCAATGTAGTGCGTGGATCGCATTTTACTTCAGCACTGAAATCACACCCCACGGCAACCAGGCGGAATCCATGATAAATCTCACAATCTTCAATGTGTAACGAACCCTGGCTATAATTAAGTGAAATATAAGAGTATCGCATTCATATTAACGCTGTACTTGTATACAGAGAAATATAGATGGTTGTGCCGCGTTCAGGTGCTGTGAGGCCTGTGAGATTCCTTAGGTTATATACACTGAGAAGTAGCGCTACGTCACACTAGTTTGTGAAGTCAGCTACATAGGCTTAAGGTGAACGGTGCACAACCCCATCGAGAGAATGAAGATGAATTTGTCATATACAGAAGACATGGTGTGGTTATTCCTAACGCTGCTAGGGATCCTGCTTCACAGAACAGGTGGGTTGATACCTTAAATAGGGGAATTAACCGATAGTACCCTGTACATGTACTATTATTTTTATTGTAATTTTATAGCTTTACTTTGTTTTGATCGTCCTGTCTGTCCGAGTAGACTCTTGAGCTCTAAATGATCTAACCCTACATACTAGTATATGAGAACAAACCCTGTACTCCCACTACAGAAACCACGATGACATAACTTAACTGGACGCTGTGCAAGACCATATTACTTCAAGCAAAGCTGTTTTTTAAACCAGACCCTTGGGTGTTACATTTAGAACCAATACGTCCCACGCATACTATGCAAAACTACGAAAATAATATGAAAAGTAATTTAAGAAATGAGAATAATTATATATATTTTTACAGGTGCCAGTGAGCTTTACCGATGTCCCCAGGGTCTGTCTCACACTATCTTCACCTACGGAGACAGGTGCTATCAGTTTGTGAACGAGGAGAAATACTGGGGGGAAGGCCAGAGCTACTGTTGGGGAGCCGGGGGGAGGCTGCTGGAGATATATGACCACAATACCATGGCGTTTATTAAGAACACATTGAACGTGGGCGTGCATTGGACCAATAATGGCGTCTGGATTGGAGCGCACGATAGGAGTGTTGAAGGGAGCTGGCAGTGGGATTCAGGTAGGAGGATGTTTCATTCACTTATCTATCTATCTATCTATCTATCTATCTATCAACAGATATTGACTACACGTATATTGAATCGCCGTTTCTATTCGTTCATTTTCATCACTTTGTTTCTTTCAATTGATTTTTTGCTTATTTCTTTTTCCCTTCAAGCTTCTTTATTTTAAACTGGGTGCATTTTGTCTCTCTCTCTCTCTCTCTCTCTCTCTCTCTCTGGTGCAAATGTACAAGGCATTATGACTGCATATATTGCGAAATCTGAAAGCAGACACCATGTAACCTAAGACACAATGTAACCACTCAAATGTGACCGGCTAGCTATTTCAAACCTGGTTTTTGTTATTACAGTTATCTGTTAAAAAGAGGAACGATGTCTTGAATAAGACTATCTCGTGACATTGACCACGTTTAAACATTTGAAATATTTTCATTTCTTTTTTTCACTTAGGATAAACCTGTCTGTTGGTGGCAGTAAGTCGAAGTTCGTTCTAATTTTTTTCTGTTTTGCACAGTCTTAAATATTGCTTTTTTTATCTTAGTCAATCTGTCTTTTTTGATTTCCCAGGCGCGCCAATGTCCTATACAAATTGGAACAGCGGCGAGCCCGATGACTACTGGCCGTTCTATCACCTGGACTGTGCCGTTATGAGGAGGGAAAACGACTGGAGATGGGGGAGTTACCCCTGCAGCACGGCCCAATACCATTACAAGTTTATTTGTATGTATGGTGAGTATGCATACCAGAATAACGTGCATTGGCGTGTGTTTGTCTGTTTTAAGTGAAACTTCTTTATAATCTGTACTTCAAGTTATGAGTCGAAATTTCTGTGGAAGTATTTTCGCGTCCTACTTAATCTTGAATTAAGACAGATCCTTTTTTTCCATTATGAACCCTTGCAATAGGCTTGCACCAATTCCACAAAAAACTAAAAAAAGAATACGGATTGTGTTAGTTGTGCATGTTTGTGACACAGCTTGCACATTATTCAATTGAAGCTAAAACGCTCAATATTGCGAGTGATCTTGCAATTTTGGAATAACATAAAAGGACTTAACATGACGTTATTCATATTGGATTATAAACATAAACAAATCAGGTAAAAGATTGATTCTTTTTTTTCAGATATGTCTCCACCAACTACAACTACTACACCTACCACTACTACTACACCTACCACAACTACAACTACTACACCAACCACTACTACAACTACTACACCTACCACAACCACAACTACTACACCTACCACTACTACTACACCTACCACAACTACAACTACTACACCTACCACAACTAC